TATCCAACGAACAGTTTATTTATACCTCTCTCAATACACCTGTGAGGTTTGTAACCATACAGTCATTGATTCCTCGATTATTAAGATGCATTTAGATGGATTTGGGTGTTTTTCATGAAAACTCTCTGGAATCGTCATGAGTACGACGATATCAAGAAATTGAATGATGTGGGCATTGAGCGTCTCATATTAAGGACTGCTTGATGCAGGTGATCGAGTTGATTTTCAAACAGATCACAAAAAAAATTTCAGAACGAAATTCTACGAGTTCGATATGAAGCCGACGTGTAAACGATGTTATGATCGATTCCCGAATGAGCTGAAGAAACGAATAAGTGACAGTTTAAAGGATCGCGATCTGGAGATCGAAAGGAATCGAGTGCTACAAAGGCGGTCGATGAGCCCAACCGCAGCCGCGGCCACTTCTACTCATAGTAGTGGAGGGACGCTGAAGAAATCATGATAATATACCGTGCATTTTTTCTTCATATCAGAAACAATTCGTTCTTAATTTCGAATATTGTTTGATTTAATCGTGATTGCTTATAACTTCAACTCGTTTCAAACAAATCACTGAATGCTTTTAAAACCATTGTGATGAGTGGTAAGACTGTCACGCATCCAGTTGATTCCAGTGAACTTCTTCCACATACTTCAAATGGCTTTCATGAAATTTAATGAGTTAAGAGCATAAATGAAATAAATTCCTCTGGTCCGACGATGCTAATGTTCAATTCCTTTGAGCATAACCGAGATTGAATCGAACAAGCCGCAAATGAAATGAACTGATTGATAGATCTGTTTCTTTGATAGGCAATTGCGTTTTGATTAATTGCGTTTATGTGAAGCTTTTTTCAAATCTTTATAAGATTTGTTGTTTGTCTTATTTCTATGAAATTTTGTCAGCATTTTGTTTGCTTATCTGTTTTTTGTTGACTACATCATCAGTGCCAAATGATTCTTGTACTCCACAAATTATTTCTACGCAACTTTGTTTATTTTCCCAAATGCTCATTATAATCTTTCGTTTGTTTTCTCAGCGAGAATCTCGTCGTTTTTTTTTTTTGTTCAATTGTTCATTTTCGATATGATATTTATTCGTTATCTTTTCAATTTCATACTGATTATTTCTGCTTCTTCCGTCCACCATATCAATTAGAATTCAACATCGTATTATTCATTAATGAGTGATTGTATTTGAATAATGAACTGATTATCGACTTCTACAAAGAATTTGAGTTCATTTACGATATGTTCTCGTATTTCACTCCGTTTTAATATCAAAATATATCGCGTTGTATTTGAATTCCCATGATCATTCATTACTGAACTAACGATAAGCATAATATTACACATCACTGGCATTATAATGAAATATTTCAGTTGTTTTACCATAACTCTTTCAGTTTATAATTAATTGATTGCAATATGATAGTGTATGTATGAGTTTTAGTCACAGTATTGTTTCATATGACAATAAACGTTCGAATATCGTATCGCACATCGTCGCACACAACAACTGATGAGTGTTACTGTAAAACTTGCTGTATTCAGAATGATTGGAAAATACGCTTCATATCAAAATTCAAAAACATGGAAAGAAGCTCAGATTCAGTGAATAGTAAATAAGTAATCGTCATATACAATATTCTATTGGAGTTGTCATTTTTCGAAGATTACTCACTTTCAACGAACCGTATCTGTTCAGTGAGAACATAACCCATAACTACACAAGCGCGATGGCATCCGACCGACGTTCAGTCGAAAAAAAACCGGCGAAGTGATTCCGACCGAATGATTTGGAAGTCCAATTGGAATTCCGAATGTCGGAGTCTCAAAATATGGATTCAGTCGGACTCCCAACGAAGAAAGCCGAAAGTAGGTTGAAATTCCGAATGCTGGAATGTTGAACTGTCAGGTCGGTTGGATTCCGACCGCCTTGACTTTTCTATCGGATGCCACCACTAGGATGCAGGACAGCTGATGATGATGAATGAAAGTTGAACGCAATTGCCTGTCATTGCAAACGACGAATTTACACTACTGAAATGGTTTCGGGTATTTTATTTGATTGAATGGTACACAATTCAGACAACCATAATTTTAATCAGATAGTTTTTCTGATTTCCTCAATCCCGTCAGTCTCAAGTTAACGTGATCAGGTTGACCTGAAAGACTTCATAGAGATCTCAAGCGAAAATCTGCATTACCTTCGTGAGTCAATGAATTTTCTTCAGTTGTGCGATTTTGAGTGGATTGTAGAGACGTAGACATTTTGGCAAAATGAACAATTAAGTGCTGTTGGCTAAATGATTTAAAATTTAGCGGTGCGATGTTTTTCGGTTTTATTTATTACTCGGAAACCTTTCGGTATGCCTTTTTTTCGTGATTTTCGTGCTAACTGGTTTATAGAAGTGCGTTTATAAACAAGTTATAAATTCATTTATTTCATGAATTCATGATAAATTGTTGTGCTATGATGGAAATGGTGTTTTGCGGTGAT